TCCCTACAACAAAAATGTCAAATTTAGAAGGAAAAAAAGCTGTAACATAGGCGAGTCTTATGAGGGATGTGACACTGGAAGATATTAGGAAACTGGGACTAACTAAATGAATCAGGGTGGGTCGGTGGGAGGAGCACTTGACAAGTAGCCAAAAGGCATACCTAGGTTCTAGATCAGATTGAATCACTTTGAGTAAGTCATTTAATTTCTCTGGCCTCTGTTTTGGTTTCTTTATTTTTTAAAATATGTCTTTGTTGATTTCAGAGAAAGGAAGAGAGATAGAAACATCAGTGATGAGAGAGAATCATTGATCGGCTGCTCTTGCACACCCCACTCTGGGGATCAAGCCTGCAACACAGGCATGTGCCCTGATTGGGAATCGAATCGTGACCTCCTGGTTCATAGGTCGATGCTCAATCATTGAGCCACACTGGCTGGGCCATTATTCAGATTTTTACTACTACAAATGAGTTTTGTCTGCACGCCCTTGACCAGAATCGAACCTGGAACCCTTCAGTCCGCAGGCCGACGCTCTATCCACTGAGCCAAACCGGTTTCGGCTGTTTTTTAACTTTATTTAACAGGAAACATTCTTTTGGGTCTGGCTTTTTTTGATTAATATTATGTCTGTAAAATTCATCTTGATGTTTCACGTAGCAATAATTTGTTCTCATTGATTTATATATTTCATTGTATGAATGCACCTTAATTTATCCATTCTACTGCTGAGAGATTGGGTTATATTCAAGATTTGGTCATAATGAACAATGTTCCTGGGAACATCTGAAAGTTTCTCCAGAATATAAATCCAGAAATGGAAGCAGGTTATAGGGTCTGCAGGGTATGTTCAGCTTTACTAATTAATGCCAAACTGTTTTCTAGGAGGTTGTCCTTATTTACACCCCTCTTTGCAGAATATAAAGTTCCTGTTGTCTCACACCCTTCCCAAAGGGACCAAAGAGCCTCTTCAGTGTGGCACAATCATACGTACCCTCAGAGTGCCAACCCTTTGATTGGTTCTCAGAAGCTCAGGCCAACAGTCACTTCTGATTACTTGCCCCCTCCCAGTAAAGGGTAGAGGACTCAGATTATCCCTAGGTTTCTGATCACATGCTTTATTACCCTGGGAATATTGGCTCCAGATGGGGTAGGTGGTGAATTTAATAACACAATCATTCCTGAATCAAGCGAGCATCCATAGGCCATTTTATTCTTGTATTGAATAGTAGTAGGAAATGAAGGGAGACACAGAGAGAAAGGGGGAAGTAATATTTTCAGTGCGCCTACTAATGTTCCAAGCTTTGTGTTAGAAACTTTCCATTTTGATTATAATATTTCATCCCAAAACACAAACTTACAAGGTAGATATTATATCTCAGTCTTTTTTTTTTAAATATATTTTATTGATTTTTTACAGAGAGGAAGGGAGAGAGATAGAGAGTTAGAAACATCGATGAGAGAGAAACATTGACCAGCTGCCTCCTGCACATCTCCCACGGGGGACGTGCCCGCAACCCAGGTACATGCCCTTAACCGGAATCGAACCTGGGACCTTTCAGTCCGCAGACCGACGCTCTATCCACTGAGCCAAACCGGTTTCAGCTATATCTCAGTCTTATAGGCAAGGAAACGGAAGCTCAGAAGGGGGTCAGTTGCTCAGGGTCACAGAGCTAATTAGTGACAGAGTCAGAATTTAAAGTCTGGTCTATCTAATTAAAGAGTTCACGCTATTATAATACAGAACACAGGGAAGGCAAAGTTCCTGTTCCTCTTAACATATCTTTGGCTCCTGTTACCAATACCAATAATCAGTTCTTCTCAGTTTTGCTTGCCTGAATTCATCCCCCAAACTATATGCTATCCAAATGATTATGGCAGTCTCATTCATACCTGTGCAATCCTACCTTTTATCATCAGGACCAGACTTACAAAGTGGCATCCTTGAGAACATTTTCTGACTTTATGGTGTGAAGTTCCCAGGCTCTTAATTCTGGACGAACTTGAATGGTTGACCAGAGCAAAGGAATGTAGTGTTCAGATAAAGTTTTGTATGCTTTGTTTTTCTCTGTCTCATGACTGGAGCCACAATTCTGGTCAAGGACCTAACTTTCCTTTCTTTTTCTTTTTTAAAATATATTTTTATTGACTTCAGAGAGGAAGGGAGAGGGAGAGAGAGAGAGAAACATCAATGATGAGAATCATTGATCAGCTGCCTCCTGCACTCCCCCTACTGGCGATCGAGCCCACAACCCGGGCATGTGCCCTTGACCAGAATCGAACCCGGGATCCTTCAGTCTGCAGGCTGGCGCTTTATCCACTGAGCCAAACCAGCTAGGCCGCTAGGGCAAGGACCTGACTTTTCTTGATGAAGTCTCTCCATCTGTAAATCAGCTAAGTATCCTATGGAGGCTTTGCCTCCCAAAGGCGACATGAAGACAGATAAGCAGACAGACCTAAGGAGCAGTGTGACCTCTCCGGTACAGAGCTAGTTAATTTTTACTTCAATCAGTGAAGTAAAAATTACTTAGCTCTACTCTAGTAGTTATAGAGAGGAATACCAAACTA